ATAGCAGGGCAGCCCAAGTGTTCCTCTGTTATGCTGTCTGTCCCAAACGTACAGATATGGATCAAATATAAAGGAATAATAAATCTGATGTACTCCAAAAGCATTTTTTCTATTGCTTTTCATTTCTTACCTTTTCAGTCCAATGTTATTACTGTACAGTTATACTTTGTGTTCTTGGTTCAGTTGCTGGGAATGTTGAAGAATGTCAGGTAATGTTTGTGTCCCTCAGAGAACTGCCCCCCAGAGACCTTAGCTGATCTAAAACTTTTGTTACCATAGTCCCTGTGCCAAATTCAGTACCATGATGCATTGCAATGCGTTAAGTGTCTACGTTTCTTTCTGGTACATTGCAGCTGGGTTTTTAAACATGGACAATATACACACATCTTAGCCCTCTTGCTCCAAATGCCATCTTTCCCAACTCCTAGTAATGCACAAATGATCCATTTGAATGTTGGCCTCATTAGGCCTTCAGGTGTAATTTGAAGGGTGTTTCTAGTTAACTAGGTATGAATTGCAGGAAAGTGTTCACGGTTTTTCAAAGGACGGCACTGCTACTACAACCCCATTTCCAAAAAAAAGGTGGGACACTGTGCTAAATAAAATAAAAATAGAATGCAAATGTTTTAAACCCTATAGTTAAAATATTATATGTTGAAACTGAGAAATTTTGATTTTGATGCCAGCAACAACTTTCAAAAAAGTTGGGATGGGGGCATGTTTACCACTGTGCTGCTTCACCTCTTCTTTTAACCACACTCTGTAAGCATTTGGGAACTGAGGAGACCAATTGATGTAGTTTTAAAAGTGAAATGTTTTCCATTCTTGCCTGATAAAGGTTTTCAGCTGTTCAACAGTTCAGGGGTCTCCTTTGTCGTATTTTTCATTTCATAATGCTCAAATGTTTTCAGTGGGTGACAGGTATGGACTACAGGCAGGCCAGTTAAGCACCAGGACTCTTTTACTACAGAGCCATGCTGTTGTAATATGCTGACTGTGGTTTGACAATGAATTGCTGAAATAAGCAAGGCCTTCCCTGAAAAAGACGTCGTCTGGATGCCAGCATGTTGCTCCAAAACCTGTTTGTGTCATTCAGTATTAATAGTGCCTTCACAGATGTGCAAGTCACCCATGCCATGTTCACTAATGCTCTCCATACCATCACAGATGCTGGCTTTTGGACTGTGCACTGATAACAAGCTGAATATTCCCTCTTCTCTTTAGACTGGAGGAAGCAGTGTCCATGATTTCCAAAAAGAATTTCAAATTTTGATTTGTCGGACCACAGGACACACTTTGTCTCAGTCCATCTTAAATGAGCTCAAACTAGAACAGGCAGCGGCATTGCTGGATCCCATTTGTATAGGGTTTTTTTTTTTTGCATGGTAGCGTTTTAGTTTGAATTTGTGGATGCAGTGACGAACTGTTTTCACAGACAGTGTTTTTCAGAAGTGTTTCTGAGCCCATGCAGTGAATTCCACTACAAAATCATGTCTGTTTTTAATGCAGTGCCGCCAGAGGGGCCCATGTCCCAACTTTTTTTAAACGTGTTGCTGGTATCACATTTAAAATGGCATATATTTTTCAAAAACAGTAAGATTTCTCAGTTTCAACATTTGATATGTTATCTTTGTACTATTTTGTACTATTTTCAGTTAAATATGGGGTGTAAATGATTTGCACATCATTGCATTCTGTTTTTATTTACATTCTACACAACTTCTTTGGAAATTGGGTTGTGAATGGTTTCATGTACATATTTTCGTCTTATAGTAAGAAACAATTCAGACATATCAGTGATTTTCAAAGAAGAATTTATGTAAAATATAAAATGTGCCATAATGTTTGTGCAGGCTACATCTTTGGTTTTGTTTTTATATTTTTATATTTTCGAATATGTTGAATTCAACTGTAATTGTGCAATATAATGTGCAGAAGTGTTTTCTCTGTAGAGAATGTATACTTATTTTCACTTAGAAAAACAAACAAAACATGTAATTTGGCCACATGTGCTCAAACTTTTGCATACATATATGCATACAGAAATAAAAAAAAAACAAACATGATGTTACATTTTACTATATATTTATGTTTATTTGAATGTTACATAATGTTTTTGCTGAAAACAAAATACTTTAAACAATTTTCTTGGCTGCCTAGGACTTCCAGATATTGCTGCACTGTAAATGTATTGTTTTTTGTGACATTACAACAACAATGAACTCCAAGAAGGCTGTTGGTGCAACTTACGTTTTCATACATGGACTGTACGAGCTGGGAGTGAATGGTATGTTTTGAAACATAAGCAATGATTCCAAAAGTGAGCAAAATTTGGTCTTATGATACAGATAGAGCTTTCTAGGGTAGTAGTGTACCCATATAGCCTCCAGATGGTACCAATGCTCATGCACTGTTATCTATAACAGTTATACTAATGAAAATAGTCAACAGAAATTCACAATAGACAAGGATCCATTTATTTGAATACAAAGTTAAACTTGTATAAATATGTATAAATTATTAATTGATTTTTAAAAGCAGTATCTCCAAAATCCTTCAAGGCATTACGTATTTTTAAATCAAAATAACTAAATAAAATATATCTAGAACAAATCTTAAGCTCTCAGTTTATTGCGCAAGGCTATCTAATGGTTTTACCATTTGATTCTATAAAAACTGTGCCCCAAACTGACCAGAGTAAACATCTCAGTCAGTGGGCATGACTACATTAATATCATGCCTGGTCTTGGATGCTCACCTAGTATCTAAATGAAACTAAAGAGCAAAATCTAAGTGACTTAATTATGTAAAGCATGTGAAACGCAAAAAGCTGTCCATAACAAATGAACAGTATACATTTCTGCCTCTGTGTTGTTTGGTAAAACTTTACAAAAACTTCACAAAATGAAAACCTGGTCCATTAAATTTCTAGAGAGGGTCAGTCAGTCATCTCTCTCCATGTGCAAATTAAACTTCCAACACCGATATGGGCTGGTTTTCCCAAAAGCATCTTTGCCCAAATGTGATCCTTAAATAGTGGCATCACTGTGAACACTCTCTCTACCTCTCTCTAACACTAAGATGCTTTTGGGAAACTGGGCCCTGACTGGCTGCAAAATGGAGTCCAAGACCCTTAGCTGGCCACAGGAGGGTGCTAGAGGGCTACAAAAGGAGAAAAATGAAAAGGTGTGCAGAAGTACACTGTAAACTAGGAGAGTCCTGGACAACCTTAGGGTAGCACAGTTTAGTGATTTCCCCCATTCAAATATACCTGATTCAGCCATGGAGATAACCTGGAGAGAATCATCATTTGTGCCAATTTATTTCAAAAATAAGTACCAGGACCACAAGGCTGTACAACTCTCCTCTACGGTAGACACTAGACCCACACAAACTACCCCACGGCCCCACATAAAATAACACATGCAACACATTTACACGTCAACTAACATCACCGCTTACACTACAAAAATTTAAGTTTCTCCTACTGCAAGCGCAATGCCTCCCGAGAGCCTCTTCAAATAGCCGCTTTACATGGCCACACCTCCCGCGCTCCTACAGCTAGTGATCGGTTGTCTAAATGCTATTTTTTATTGTTGCAGTTTTGTGGTACCATTTTGATATCAAGAAAGCTGCAGTGGTGCTGTCCGATTTATCTCAGCAAAGCTGTCTCTGTGGGTAGGAACTGTTTTATAGCAGGGTGTTCACACCTTCCCAACTTTCACCTCTCATTGCTTCCTAGCAGCTCAGCACAGAGATCCAACAGTTTCCTAGCTAATCTGATAACAAAATTAAAGGGATTAGCAAGAGTTTAGTCAGGACCACTATGTCAAAGAGAATATTTGTTTCTGTTTGCAGTAGGTTATATTTGGCGGTATGGCTCACGTCTGGGACATCCCTGCCCTTCCATGTGCATAATTGCAAAGTCTAAGGCAGGGATAGCAGCAAAGGAAACCCCCATGGGGCAGAGAACAGAGCAGGCACCAATGACAACATGACATTGATCAACTCAGACACAGCATGAAGGAAGAGGCGGGGTGGAAGAGGGTTGCAAAGTGGCTTAAATAAGCACCCTGACAAATTTAGCCAATCGTATGCATGCAGGTGATTGTGACAGCTCAGCTGATTGAGATCAGCTGATAACAGCTGCTGATCTGACATTGTGGTCAGAGCTTGACTTTGTGGCCTGCCTGAACTATGCTCAATTTGTTTGATTATATTAATGAAATTATATATATTTGAGTCAATTTAAATGGCCACTAAAGAGCCAGCAGAAAGAGGCTATGATGTATTTGTGTATTAATGCATCTTACAACTGAGCTGCATTGTGCTTGTAATCTGATTTGATTTGTAGATAAGCATTTTAGCTTAAAATAACATAATTTTAGCAGATATGGTAAGTATAGGTTGTACGTCAAAAAGTCTGTCCCAAATGCATTTAAACCTAGCACTCTTAGGGTCTCTTGGTCTTGTTAATGTCACCAAAGTGTGAAATTCGAGGAATTTGCAGCACAAAAAGGCATTTTTTGGGACCTGTCAGTTGCTTTATGTGGCCTTTCCACCAGCACAAAAATTTGAGCCAATGATATGAGCTGTAAATTTCACACAACTCACCACGATAGAAATGTAGAAAAAGTATTATTAACAGTGCCGACTGACTGATGGCACGCAGTGGTCATAACAACAAGCAATTTATGCTGTTACATCATTGGTGATATAAGACATAAAAATCAGAAGACACGGAAAAATTAAAATGCTTTTTGATGCTTGAAGTGACCCCAACCACAAAAGATCAGCAGGAGAAAAAAAGAACAATAAAATAATAGAATAGAAATTGAAACGTTGTTGCCCGCTACTCTCTACCAAAAAACTCTGCCCTGTTAGATTCACTTTTGCAATTAGTTACTACATTTAGTAGGTGTATTTGAGCAAGGAAGTCACCAAACTGTACTGGATGTCACCCCTTCAAGACCAAACTGGACACCCCTGCTCTAAATCTTTCAAACATCAGTGACAGCTTCAGTGTCCTGGTCTGTTACCCTCTGTAAAGGCACTTGGCAGCTTCTACCATTAATTTTGAGATTAATGGCGGGCTTCAGGCTGTGATTATCTTTAGTTGAGAAGGGCCTCTTCTCCTCCTTGTAGGTCTGTCTGTCCAACCAGTAGAAAGACACTATGATGAAGAGACCAGCAGTGGAGACAGACACACTGCAGGCGAAGAACACGTAGCTGTAATGGCCAGTGCAGTCCACCAGCACCCCTACAAGACAGGAAAAATGTGATTCAGCATGAGATAAACCCCTCACTGCTCAAATACTAATTTAATAGTGGTTATGGAGATCAGCAATGAGATCAGTGCCAGGCCATCAAGATACAGCCTTCCTATCGGACTGACATTTGCGTTTTCATGGTAGAGGTAACCTGAGAGGATCACGCTGTGTCTTTCGTGTGCTAGCCATCTATAAACCCACAGTGGAATCAGGGCTGAGCCAAGCTCCGGTCACCCAGCACATGACCCTTGCTTCCCTTCTCACTGCCTCTCTTTAACTCTAACTCTAACTCTCTCTCTCTCTCTCTCTCTCTCTCTCTCTCTCTCATGGATGCCATAAATGCAAGTACATACTTGGCTTTATGCTTTCATACCTCAGGGTGAAGTACAAGAAGCATGGCATGTTTTCCTTGCACAGCGAAGGTTCAGCCAAAAATGTACACACAAATTCAAATGTACAATTTTTCTCTTACATCAAATGTAGTTAATCAGTAATGACGTTTAATTTACGAAGTTTGGTTCTTTAGATTTGCACTGATACTACAAGAGCTTATAGCCTCCAGTTATCAATGTGTAAACTACATGCTTAAAGAAACGGTTTGGTACAAAATTAAAGTTACACCGTTTTCTGTTTAGTTGCTAACAAACACTAGAAGTCAATAGTCACCGAAATTCTCTAAATACATTCACAAAACTTCTCCCAACCCTTTTAAACCACATCCAAGTCTTCATTAAGGCAGTGCATGTTTGTTGAGGACACCATATGACTTACGACTTATGACAAATTAACAAAACTTTACAGTGTAGCTAAATGCTGTGATCAGCCATCCTTGACAACAGGCGGTTGCATTGAATTCCACCTCCCCTGTGATATCTGTTTCCTCTTAGTGTGCACACACATCATAAAGTCATGTAGGCGCTAGATTGTATCAGATGTTGTTTATATTTTTAAACATATACCTTCAGATTAAAACATATAAAGGGAAACAAAGAACTTGCAATTGTACTCTGTAGCGCTGTGCCATGCATGCATGCAAAAGGCAACACTCATTTTCTAAAGCGGCCGCTTGCAGTGTTGGGCAACACTTTTTTAATTCACACTTCACACTTAAGTCATACTTAAAGTTAATACTTCATGTTACTATTTCACACTTAAGCCATACTTACTAACCTCATTGGCAATCTGCATGACCTTAATGAAGACCTGGATGCAGTATGAGGTGGTTGAGTAAAGTAACAATGTTTTCATGTAAGAGATTTGGGTGACTATTGTGAGGGTAACGCTACCCTACTGCAGCACTGGACTTGAATTTCCAGTGCTAAGCAAAAAAAAAAAAAAAATTGGCTAACAAACATGTCTGGGCCAATGAGCTAGTCAGAATAAGAGGTAATTGTAGATTGTGTAAATTTGATTTTTCACCAAACCATTCATTAAAATCATCCTACCCTTCAAACCTGGTTGACTTGTTAAGTAATCTCAAATAGACTTGCTTATGTGGTTTCTAAAACTGTTTGATATTATGTTATCTATAAAATTAACAAAAGCACACACAGGCAACTGTTTTAGATATGCAAGGTCCATTTGTCCATTTTAGTTAACAGCATACCATACAATGTCAGAAACCACATATATACTTGAAAAGGGTTCTTTAGAGTGATGCCACAGAAGAGCGACCTTTCAATAAATGATTCATTAAAGAACCATTTAAGTAAATAGGATGTGCTAGAATGAAGATCCTTTTTAAAGCCTCCACATAACGTACATGTTCTATACCAATTTTTTTTCCTAGAAACATACACCCAAGCTAAGAACCATTTAGAAAACTTTGACATTACTTAACAATTCTACATGTCTACTCAGGCTTAAGATGTAAGCGTGATTTTTGGCCAAACCAGCACTTTAACAATACACTCACGCATGCTTGCACACATGAAAACAGTAGTTGTGCTTCACCTGCTAGCGGTGGGCCCAATAGAAGTGTGACACTCTCCATGATGCTGATGAGGCCCAGGGCAGAGGGGAAGCAGCTCATCTCGACTGTCTCCATCAGCACTGTGAAGAGCAGTGAGCCCACAATGCTCATAGAGGCACCGAATAGCAGCACATAGGCCAGAAGCACACGGAAGCTCGTGGCCGCACCACACACACAGTTGCTCAGCCCGTTGAGCAAGAGAGCACCTGCAAACAGGTAGACGAAGTGGCGGCTGCCCCGGAAGCGTGGCAGTCCAAAGACCAGGGCTGCCGTTGGTCTGACCGAGATGTTGACCAAACCAAGGATGGCCATCAGCAGGGCCGCACGATCCTGCTCCATCCCATGAGTGGTGGCGTAGGGCACCAGATAGACCAGTGGCACCACAAAGCCCAGCATCATCCACGACACACCCAGCGCAAAGGCACGGAAGCGGGGGTTTGAGCGCATCAGGTCCAAGGCCATGTGCCTGCGTAAGAAGGGCATGAGTCCAGAGATGCTGCCCTGCAGACGACCCTTTAGCCCCTCCCGCTGGATATACAGACCACTGTCTAGGAGCGATGGCTGAACTGGAATTCTCTTTGCCTTTGGTTTGGGCTCCAGAGGCCTCATCACAGCCCCGCACACACAGCAGTTCAGCAGGACCCCACCCAGCACAAGGAAGCTTCCTCGCCAGCCAAAGCAGCCTAACAGGAAATTGGCCAGCAGGGGCAGAGTGCTCAGACCCAATGCTGTGCCAGTGGAGGAAAGGGCATTGGCAAAGGCACGGCGGCGTACAAAGTAGTGACCCACCATGGTGATGGATGGCTGGAAGCACAAGCAAAACCCCAGTCCTGTGGAGTGGGAAGGAAAGCTCAGAATTACTTTTAGCATGAACTTCTGAAAAAGAGTGTGATTGTGTGTAATAGGCCCGGGCGATCAAACATTGTGAATATTTATTGAAATACAGTCATATGCAAATCAAATATTTTGTTGATCTTTAAAGTAAAAACAAGTAAGCACTACCTCTGCAGTAAACTGTTTTAAAGTTTGTTTTTTTTCTGCAAGTGTTACAGCACAGTTAAAAAATAATAAAAAATAGTAATTGTGGCATGGGCAAAGGTTTGGACACCATTCCAGTTGTAAAGTCTCAGAATTAGTTAACTTTTAAATGACTTGTAAGGACCGGTTAGGCAAGTCAAGAACACTCTTCAGGAAATGTCGGCTGATGACAATTCCAGAGTAATAAATTATCTGATTCTTCAACTCTTGTGCTATCACCAACAACCATGGGCTCCTCTAAGAAGCTGGCTGAGGATCTGAAGAAGCTAATTGATGCCTACAAAGCAAAGGAAGGCTATTAAAAGATTTCAAAACACTTGCAGCTTGCAAGTTTCACGGTCTGAAATGTCATTAAGAAATGAACGGGCAGTTCAGGGGAACTGTGGAAGTCAAGACAAGATCTGGAAAACCAAGAAAATATGCAAAACAAATTTGCATTTTGGAAGTGCTGTGGACTCATGAAGTAAAAATGAAACTCTGGCTTTCTCTGTTTGGAGAAAAACATTTGATGAAAAGCATTGGGATGGGTCCACACTTTGGGGTTCATGTGGCAAAGGAAACTCTGCACTGGTAGATTGAAGAAGGGATTCCACTAAATATCAGCAAGTGCTTGAAGCGAATGTGGCAGAGTCAATCATGAAACTGATGCTGAAAAGTGGCTGGGTTCTACAACAGGACAATGATCCAAAACGTACCTTAAAGTCCACCATGAACTACTTCAAACAACACAAGCTGAAGCTTTTAGAATGGCTCTTACGGTCCCTGGACTTGAACATCACTGAAAATCTGTGCATAGATCTTGATTGTGCTGTCCATACAAGGCAGCTCAAAATTATTGCAGAACTAGAAGCATTTTGCAAAGAAGATTGGATGAAAATCCTTAAAGCAAGAATAAAAAAACTTTTTGCTGCCTACAAAAACATTTGCAAGCTGGAATGTCTTCCAAAGGAGGTGTTACTAAGTATTTTAATCACATATAAAGCAACTGTGCATTAACATTTGCAGGAAAAAAATATGTTAAAAACATGTATAAACTTTTAATACTTATAGATTTTTAATAGATTTTTAGAATACCTGTAGATATTTTTCTGATATTGTGATACTCCTTTAACGTATTTCTGACAAAATTACATACCATACTCAATCAGATATTAGCAGCAAAGGCTACACTAGGTGGCAATGGCAATGTACATATTTTACTTGCTAGGCAGGGAAGGAGATCAAGTCTAGCCATTCACTCACTGTAAAAACCAGCATGCCAGTTGGGAGAGTTAGCTAGTTTTCAGTGTTGTAATTATGAAGAGTGAAAAAGGCCAAGAGTTTATGATCAATATTGAAAAGTATGGAAAATTATAATAAAAATTTTGACACTATAGCCCAGCACTAGAGTCCGGTGAGCCAGACTGACCCGTGATAATTCCAGCAGCAATGTACAGGTCCACAATGGTCTGAGCAAAAGAGCTGGCCACCATTCCTAGTCCACTCAGGATCCCGCCCACCATTATCGTTGCACGGCAACCATAGCGCTCTACAAGGACACTGCACACAGGACCTGGAAAAAAATACTGGTATTGTTAAAAAACATCTATATCAATGGACACAGACGAGTCAAAGCACACCAAAAATGCCCAGATACGATGAGATGACAATGGAAGTATCTGAATTACAGATTATCCCTTTTAGCATCGCTACACATATGGAGATTAGCCTGGTAAAAGACAATGAATGACAAGTGCACAAGAGTCACACACTGCATCCTACACACAATTGATGAAAATCCTCTGTCATAACTACAAAAGGGAACTCGAGGTTGCACAAGCCTTCTTTTCAGGTCTGTTCAGACTGGCCAGATTAAAATAAAAAAAAATCCTTATCCCTCAAATCAAAGCTGAATGTGAACAATCAGATTAATGAACAGCTCTTTCAAAATTACAAAGGCTCTTTGATGTTGGGAAAAATGAGTTCCAATTATTCTTTATGTTTTAGGAAAGATTATGTCATAGCAGTGTACTTTCCTCTTAGTGATTGTTCTCATTCCTCACAGACAGAGACTCTACTGCATTGCTGGATTAGCATTAAGGAGAAAGGTGACATCTATTTACTGAGGGTTACAAATGCAGGTAATTTAGTGCATTTGCCCAGCATCACCTACACATTCTCCTTTTCTGGATTATGATAAATGGTTTAAAATCATTCCAAGATTTGTTAATATGGAGTTATGTAATAACTGAAGTTTGGAAGGAGGACTATGCCTGAAGCTGTTTCCCTTTCCAATCTAAAATCCCATACATTTTCCATCTCTACCTTCTCTGCTACTATTACCTGTGACAACGTTTCTTAGCCTTCTCTCAGTGCTATCTCTGTTGGTGGTCCGGACTTCTGGCCTAAAGCATAAGTCACCCAAAACTTCAACCCAAGTTCCCAGAGTTCTCTCCCGTCTTACAGTCACACAGTTTCTTCTCATATTACAACTGTATGTTAGCTCATGAAATATAATTGCAAGGTGTCCTGTCCACATTGTGAAGCCTTTCTCCTTCTCTTCTAAAACTGGTTATGATCTCTAGATGAAATGAACACTACTCCTGTTCAAACAAAGATTTGGAGGATGCGGCACTGTGCAGAAATTAGTTGGAGGATCACCTTTGTTTTGCTGTTGGCTCTGGCCTTTCCAGCAGAGACAGCCGTGGAAAGATAAATACACATTCTCACAGATGAACAATGGACCTTAAAGGCAGTTAGAACAACCTCCTGCCTGGCTCACTGTTGTCAGAATTAACTTGATGCTCTCCCAAAGGGCAGAAAATGAACTTGCCTGTGCTCTCTCTCATCAGAAGCTCCACCCATCTGAAAGAAGATACAGTTTTCTACCTTTCCACTCAAGCAATGTTTGAGTGTTTACTCTTGAGCAAGACGTCTCTATCAATGAAGAACCTCATCTAGCTATTTTATTCCACACAATGTGCACTTCACAATGAGTAAGTTTGTGGAGTTGTACATTTATATCTGTACTTAACCTCAGTCTAGAGAAAAGCAAAGCAATAAAGGTGAAAACAAAAATGAACTGTTCTACTCAGTAGTCAAATCCACTCATTACTGAATGGGCTTTCTGTTTTGTGTAAGTCTCACAACGATTCATATACATACATCATCTAAACCGCTTATCCTTCTGGGTCGCTTATCCCAGCTGTCATTGGGCAGAAGGCAGGATACACCCTGGACAGGTCGCCAGTCCATCGCAGGGCAGACAAACAGATAGACATACATATACAATCAGACATACATATACAATCACACACACACTCACACCTAGGGGCAATTCAGCATGTCCAATCAGCCTGACTGCATGTTTTTGGACTGTGGGAGGAAACTGGAGTACCTGGAGGAAACCCATGCAGACAGTGGGAGAACCTGCAAACTTCATGCAGAAAGGACCCCGGTCGCCCGGCCGGGAATCGGACCCAGGCCCTTCTTGCCATGAGGCGACAGCGCTACCCACTGTGCCAATTACTTTCATCATGAAATCTCAAACAAACTGAACAAACATCTTTTTTACATCTGAGAATTGTTTGATTCTGGACAAAAAATTTATATGAAGCACATATTTTGATACAAGTGTGTTGAAATCTGGTGTCAACATAACTTATATAACAATTGTGAACAATTGCTTTGTCTGGCTTTAAACTGTGATGTACAATTGTGGTGTATTGCCTTTCTTTTTCTTGTTCTTAACTGTGTAGCCTTCAGTATGCTAAGTAGTGTATTGCTATGGCTTATGAACATCTTTGTGTACCATTACTTTCAGGTTTGAAAAGGGAAATGTGTCAGATCGCAGTCATTTCTGGTGAGTAGTGCTTCTGAAGATGACACACTTGTTCGCTCAGTCCTTTGCTCCTCTGAGGGCTCATTTAACACCCTTCACCTCAGCTAATAAAGTAATGGAACAGCCTTTAAGATGACACTGGGGATTCCTGTTACAGATGGTATTGAAGCGTGCACAGATTTAGTAGGGCTGGGTGGACAGGGAAATAACCCAGCCGCATTTTGACAAGAGGAACAGGCAGAAGTTGATTTGAAGTAACTGTGAGGTTTGAATTGATGTTAAATATTGCTTTTGTTCATCTAAACTAAAGTTTTGCATTGTTCCGTTTAAAGTATTTATTTGAGTTGAATAAAAGCAGTTAAATCGCTTGGTACCACATGAACAAATTTTTTATGTGATTTTTTGGTTCAGCAGACAAATCATTTTTAACAGTGTGTGCTGGACACCAACCCTCCAGGACTGGTGTGCTTTAATTAATGTCAGAATAATTCCAAAATCCACTCTAAAAAATGGAGGTGCCAGAAAGGCGTCTTTACACAATGCCATAGAAACACTTTGGATTCCCTAAAGAAGCCTTCAGTGGATGGTTCTTTGGAAAAACATTTTTGTAAACTAGATGAGTGACTGTGAAGACTTTTTTAAAGCAGAAAAAACATCTACAAAATGAAAAGGTTCTAGGAAGAACCCTTTAATTGGTACATAGTTTTTTTTTTTATTACATAAAGGTTTTGTAAGCCTTTAAAAGGTTTCTTCACACTCACAAATTCTTTTTTAAACATGGTTCTTCAGGGAAACAAAAATAGTTCTTCTGTGACATTAATCAAAGAATCCACCTCTTCTATGCAGGTCAATTGCTATTTTCAGATCTATTTTACACCTAAGATCTTTTTACCCCCCAGTGCCCTTCCTACCGCCTGCGTGTAGCACCGCTGTCATGATGGCCGGCACCCAGGACGTCTCAGTGTTGCTCGCCTGAAACTCGTTCTGCAGATCTGTGTAGAAGATGCCGATGCAGGAGGGGAAGGCCAACGTCAGTGCCAGGACCAGCACAGTGGCTGCAAGCACCACCCAGCCCCAGCCTCCATCTGGAGCCAACTGCCCACTGCGCCTCTCTGCTGCACCTCCGGCAGGGTACTGCCCTTCCTCGGGCAGACTAGACGGCTCTTCCTCCTGGTCATCTTGCTCCTCAGGTTCGCAGCTGCTCTTCTGGCCTTGTCCTGGCCCCATCTCTGAACAGTGACAAGCATCAGTGCTGGTTCTCACCCTGTGGCTACCGAAGCCGTTTCTCAGAGTGGCCCTCTGGTTCTGAGGAGCCTCCACACCCTCGGTCATTCTGCCTGCCACAGGGGCTTCTGTTCCAGCTGCTGTCTGCATGGATGACAGTGCAAAAAAATGATGAATAGAAATCTATACAGTCAGGTTGTCTTAAGGCTTTTACAAACCTTGTCACATTACATAGGGCAGTGCTGACATTGCACAAATGATTTTTGTAGAATACTCACAAATTATAAAGCATATGTCGGGAGTAAAGATACAGATTAGGATTTCTTATTAGTCCAGTGGCTAGTAAGCCATAACCTTTATTTTACATATCGATCATTCTGCCGAATTGGCTCTAAGTCAAAGCCAAACACACTTTTCATACTTCTACCTGACTCTGACTTTAGACTAAAATCCTTTGAGTGACCTTATACATTAATAATGTTTATTTTATTAAAATCAAGCATTGAATATTCCATTCCACTACAAAAAAAGGCCTTCAAAACATTATTAAATGTTTCGATAGTGACTGCTTTGGTGGGGACAATTTCAGATCATTTTGAGCAGAACTCAGAAACGCTAGCCAGTACATGACCAGCAAACACAGCTTTGAACCGTTGTACACACATAAAATCTTAATATTATTCATTAAAACCGAAATATATGTTTCATTAGTGACCGTTTTTAATGTTACACACTACTTTTCAGACTTTGGGACACATTTACTTCACAACAACGACATCTAACGGCTCACCATGAGGCCATGACGGACAGGGATGCGGCCTCACTTCCTGCTCTATAATGCAGGGGTGTGGCTAAAATAAGGCTCCGCCCACATACTACATCTAAATCTTTGAATTTCACTTTCACAAGAAAGTAAAAAGTAAAATAAATGCAAAAAAGTATGTTTACAATAACCCCCCGCCCCAAGTAGAAACTACCCTACAAATTATAATTTTGTATATGTTTAGCTTATTACTATCTCCATTGATGCTTCGGGTTTAAATAGATCTTAACATAATCCTTGTAAATATTTAAGGTCATCTTGAACCAGTTCAGTAGAATGGTCCATATAGCAAAAGCTGTCCTCGACAGGGACAGTCCTAGTGCTCAGCGAGCTCAGCTGCCCCTGGGCATTATTAAAAGCCCACTGAGGGTGAGACGTCCTCTACCTCTCTGGGTTATTAGTGGTTTCTGTCTGCTGATTCAACACTAAAACACTCTTCGTGTCATCATCGCCTCTCGACCTGACAGTTCCGTTCAGTTCTCGTTTCTCTTCGCGCAACTTTGGTGGACGCTTCGTTCTAATCTGCTTCTGGAGGATTATAATCCCAAAGCCTCTCAGCGTCCATCTCGCTGACTGAAGGCACTGAGGGCTTCGTTACTGCGCCAGATGTGTGCAGCGTGTTTTGCTTTATCCGCTTCTATTTTATATGACTTTGTCTTTCTGCGCGTTAGTCTCCATGGGAACAGCAGAACGCAGCACCTGTTCGCACTACAGTCGTATCACGATATGAGCAATAATCACTCTGAACCTATTACAAGATCATTTGTTCCGTTTTAGTCTGACCAGAGCTCACGGCGGAACAGGTCATCGGTGTCCGTGGTACAGCAGGTCCTACCTTGCGTCCAAAAACTCCTTCATAACCGGAGCTCGTCTCGCTGCCTGTCTGCACAATCAGTCCTGGCTTTTTCCGCCAGGGTTAGGTTTTTGTTCCTCACCTTAGCATGAAGATGGCATCTGCACTTGACATGAAGTGGACTAGGCTGTCCCCTCCCCGCCGGTCACTTTGCTGTGGTCAGCTCTTCCAGTGTAGGAGCAGAAACAGCCTGGAGTGACCACAGTGCAGCCCACAGGCAGGATCAGAGGGGGAACCACCCCCCTGACTGCTAGGTGATGGTGAACACTGCTAAGTAACACTGACAGGAGAACTTACTCACTGACCACTGACTGGACCTGTCCTACAGACCACAGAGGACAGACTGTATGAAAGAATAGAGCCTCAAATGTACTTGATTCAAGTGTATACATCTTTTCCACATGTTTAAAATAACACAGAAGTATTACTAAACACAAGTAAACTGCAACTGGGTTGATTTAATAAATTGTGTTGATGTAGAAACGATGTACACATTTGAATCACGCAAACTTTACCTTCTTCAGGGGGTTTTCTCAGTGGACTACTAAGAACTTGTTTTATCTACCTATATATTTTTAGTATATGTACATTATTAAAGATTCACTACCTCAGACAGAAACAAAACATTGTTTCAGTTTAAGTCAACAAACAATGTTGTGGTTTCAAATAAAATTGTGATTTTAAAGGGCCCATGTCTTGGAAAACTGAATTTTCCCCACTTTTTTGAAATGAAAGAGTTTGATGTAATATGTAAACATGATTGGTTTAAAAATGCAGTTAAGCAGCAAACACAGCCTGTTTTGAATACACTGTCACAAAAACTGACACTTATTCAGTCTATAACAGTTTAGCCGCAGCCATTCTGAAGTTATAAGGATTGTTTCAGCCTCCATCGCTTTTTGAATGAGGCATAAAACAGAGCAGCCAATCACAACAGATGTTATTTACATATCATTGCTGTCCAGAAAAAAAAATAAAAAAAAATAAACACAGGTATTACCAAAATGGCAGCTTTACAGGAGAAGGTAAAAACATTCTTTACTTCCAATGTCAGTTCACGTAGAAAGCTTTGGAGCGTTTCTATTGACAATCCCTCATGAAATTTTACACATAATGTAAAGGGAAGCTGCTCAGTCATAAAATGGTAAGATAACAACTGAAATACTTGATAAAAATGGCAGACTGTCAGGTAGATGTGTAATCCGATAGTTACCTAACCTGCTCTTGGAGTGTTCCTGCTCTGCATGTTCAGGTGTTTCAGTGTTCCAACTAATCAGAGCCCAGTTTACCAAAATAATCTTTGAGTTAAGATCGTCTTAACTGGTAAAAAGAGGCTATAGTGTAATGCTTACTCTACCATTTAACTAGCAGGGACAGTTCACTTTATTGTGACACAAAAACTTTTTAAGTCACAATGTATTAATTAAGCAATAGAACACGAGAGGGAGTGTGTTATCGTGAAAAAACACCACGGCTCTGATTTGGTCGTTCGGCTAGTGCCGAAGATCATCACAGCCGTGATGTTATAGCGATAACACACAATGAGTGTTCTATTCCTTTTATACAACAGTTAAATAAATAAAGTAAGAAATGTATACATTGGGTCATGAACGCGGCATTTAATATGTTTTAATGTTAGCAGTTCCGCCAAATTATAGTTCCTTAACAAGCAGCTCGTTGCTACGTCAGAGTAACGAGCTCCGCTCACTCCCTGCACAGGCGACAGTTCGTTCTCCAGCTCCTTACACTAAATTCCGAAACTGTCATTACCACTGAACAGCTTTTTTGTTTTTTATTGCGGCAGTTTTATGGCTCAGTCTGATCTGGTCAGACTCTGAAGATGAGACTACACGTTTGACGATTCGGTTCATGTCTGGCTAATTCCAGGTTGTTTAGGTTTTCTTCTGTCACAGCTGCTGACTGAAAAGCTGCTCAGTGGTAAAGACAGTTTCGGAATTTAGTGTAGTCTCATCTTCAGAGTCTGACCAAACTGGCTGTAGATCGAATGTGATCTTAGAAGTGATCGTTTTCTGATTGTGGGCAAAGTAAGTAAAAACGTTCAAATGGCTTGAGCGTCTCCAACAGCTGTCGAAGTCGTGGCTTCGCAACTTAGCGGAATGATACAATGTTTGTGAAAAAACCGTGACGTGACGTGATGGCGAAATAACAGCACGGTTAGAACGCTTCTCAACCAATCAGCTTGCGTGGCCGGAACTAACTGTTGTATAAAGTTCTATGTTTTTACTTTTTGAATTAAGCTAAATAAAAAAGTCTTGACTCAATTTTAAGTAGTGAAATCTGCAATTGTACATTTTGAAAATCGCGAATACTTTAATTGGCAGATGTAAAACAGACAGTTTTATACGTTACTTACCATGACAGACTGGAAGCATGGCTCTCACAGCGATCAGAAAGACTGGCAAAGACATCATGATCACAACATGAAAAATAGTACAGGGAGACAGACCTATGGTAGTAGCCTAGGTGAAATCCAAGACCAGAACAGGTTTTAATGGCAGAGCTTAAAATAGCCATGAGGCAGACAGAGAATCTTTTTGAACCCTGCTTCCCCAGAAAACACACGATCAGACTACATAACATAGGATGAGGATACAGAATAGGCAGTTTTCTTTTTTACAGTCCACTTTTTGCTATGTGCTCATTTAAGCCCTTAAATCACAAGCACCTGTATGTGGGCCCTCACTCTCATAATAACAGTTTCATTGTAGTTACCTGACAGTAGTTCAAGTGTGTTAAAGGTTGCAATACAGCACTGCGTAAATATCTTTTATGAGCAATATATAGAATACAGTACCAGTAATGAGCACAAACAGGACTTAGGTTTCTGTTAAAATGATCATAATACAGTTTGAATACTACAGTACATACTGTAGCATGTACTGCTTTAGTACACAGGAAAGGGTGCATTAGTGTGGCCTTTGAGAAATGTGACACACCTGGAAAGCACACAAATGAGCACAGAAGCCAACAAAACTGCTTGTGTAACAGGCTGAAAATCTAATCTTAATGGTGCCTAATACGCCCCTGGTTATATTAAACGCATTTTGTCATGTTATTTCATTTAAAAGACAAAATTCCTTCAATCTTCCATCAAAATGTAGAGGGTTACCTGCCTCTAAATATCTGATAATTTTTTATTACATCATCATGCACCAGTGGACAGGGAAAAATATTACTAAACAATAATATCATGTTACACCTTCCGCTCCCTCCACGTTCACCACATCATCGAGCTAAAGCAAACAGCTCGCTCACAGACCCTCCATGATACCATTAAACACTCAGAAATGTATCACAGTGTGAAAGGAAAATGCGTTATGATTTCTGAATCACGTTGACTTCAAGCAGTGATAATGGTTTGAGTTCTATTTTAATAAAATGTAAGAACTGTACAATCCAGTTTATTGAACAGGCATGTTGCTCTTATGGCAAATAAAATAAGTAGATTACGGCACACATGCGCGCACACACACACACACACACACACACACACACACACACACACACACACACACACACACATCAAGTCGCTTATCAAGTAGATAATAGATTAATAGTTTCTTTACATCAGACATTCAATTTGAAAGAAAAATGTTATTTATCTTGAAAAAAAAAAATTGACATACAAACAAAACTGAATTCTATCATGTTAAAATTTTACTTTTTACTTCTAGAAATTAGCATATAAGATTTCGTTTATAGCTAGTAACTCATGTTTTTTCCTTATTCATTTAAATAGTTAGAGTTAATTTTTCATATTTTGACATATTTTGAAATTCTAGGTGTTTGAATTGATTTCTTGAAAACAAAAGTTTTACATAAGAAATTTCCGCTATTTTTTTCGACTCTTGCTACAGAACAGTCGTTGGCGGGCCGGGCCGCTAGGGGTCAGTAGCGCTATGTTGGTTTTGTATCTTCTATGCAGAATCCGGTGTTTCCGCTGCGGGCGGCCATCACGCTTCTGTCTTTGCAGCAGCGGCTTGATCTTCGGCAGGCAAGTTGAACTGGAAACAAGTTATTTTAACACAATTGCCTTATTAGGTCATTATAATAACCCATCACTACAGGATTTTAGGGCTCTAACAGGACACTGTTTTCTTGAGTGTAAATTCTGGCCTGATTAGGAGCCGCTGTGGAGAGACCTGCGCTTGTTCTCTGTGTTAGAGCAATGACTGCACTCATTTAGGTTAGCTAGTTAGTTTATTTAGAGAGTATATACACTGTTTGTACATAAGTATCCAGAAACTCCTTCTGATTAATGGATTCAGCGGCTTTGCAGTGCATCCAGTACTAACACAGGCCTTCAGTTGCAGACTCAGAGCTTGTATGGCTTGTATGATCTCTATAGAAAAGCATTGTCAATGAAATGGGACGCTCTGGAGCCGCCACACATGACCCTTAGGATACAATGACCACTGCCAACAGTTGGCTCGAGGGGTAAAGCCTCCCAGCTCTGTGCCTTGGAGCAATAGAACTGTGTTCTCTGTTCTGATGGAGCGCCATCCGGAATCTTTGGGATGAGTTGAAAGGGTGTTTATGATCTGAAACTAATAATCCAACATCAGTACCTGACCTCACAAATGCTCCTCTGGCTGAATGCAGTAAAATTGTCACAACAACATTCCAACATCTAGTGTGAAGCCTTCCCAGAAGAGTAGACACTGTTACTGCAGCAAGGAGATCCATAGAAACTCCCAATTAATGCTCTTTATTTCAAAAGAAATGTTGGATGTGCAGGTGTTTTGGGGTGTATAGAATATGTTACTATCCTTAAAATACATAATTGAAGGTACATAAGTCAAGCTCAAAAATCTCTTCAGCACTGTTTTAATGAAGCTGCCTGCATTGTTAGCCTGCAAGCTCAGACTTCGGAAGTTATGACAGTCTTGAGGAAAAGTGAAGCAGCACTATTGGATAAACATTAAGGAGTGCAAGCTGCACAGTAATAAACAAGCCAGCTCAAAGTAACTTGCTATCATTCCACTTAATTTTCAAGAAGTACTTGCAAGTTCATGCAGATATGTATGTAAACTTGTTAAACAGGAACTGTTGCCCTCTTAGTCCGTTATGTTCCGATATGACCAAATATGACCACTGAATGCCAACTGCATGTTTTGACAGGAGTAGAGTGATGGCAGGGCGACGAGCTGCCATAAAGGCCATTGACTGGCTGGCTTTTGCAGAGAGGGTGCCTCCAAACCAGAGAGCTATGTTCAACAACCTGAAGACCCGAAGCGATGCCGTCTCTGCTAAGTGAGTGCTGTCCCAGTCCTTTGCTATGATGGGGTGATGGGTTAATATGCCTGTGTGCACATGGTTTACATCTGTGATGCAGCAACAAGCTTTAATTTGGTGGCCAAAGTTGCTTTACGATCTACATTAAACTGCTGTTGTTTGCAGACTTGCCTCACTGCCCGAGAAGCCAGCCCCCATCGACTGGAGTTACTACAGAAGGACAGTGGCAAAAGCAGGAATGGTGGATGAGTTTGAGAAGAAGGTGAGTTCTAATGACCCCTCTTACACTACTGCATTATCTATGCTCTCTAAGGGCCTTGACCCACCAAGCCGACGGTCAGCTGTTGGAAAATGGCAGAAATGTGAGCCAACAACATTCTTGAGGGCACACACACAATGGGTTTTTCAACACCAGTGCAAGTAACACAGGTTACTATTGCTTGATGTCTGCTATTCAAATGTCTGGATTATTAAACAGTTGGTGTTTGAATGTGGTATTGCCAAGATGTACTGTGTACTTTAAATATTTTTTTTTTTCAGGAGACAAGTATGTACTTGTGTGTATTTGTACTACCTTTTCATAACTTAATGCTTTAAAAAAAAAGGACAATAAAATAAAATGTCTGGATACAAGACAGGGTGTGTAAAATCAATATAACTTAAAAAATTTAAGTGCAATGGGATATGGTACAGTCATGATACTGAAGATACTGAAAACATACCTTGAGGGTACCACTCCAATGACAGTTTAGGGCCTTATTTTATGAGAGTGTAGAGAGTCGTTCTTTTCGCACAGGCGTGTAAAGTACATGCGTGCTGGCAGTCAGCAGTGTGTTTGAGTGCCGATTTTCACAGGAGACGAGACGCAGTGGTGAGCTGATGGAAGGTGATCATCAGTTGGCCTTAGTTTGCACTATGTCTTCCTCATTGGCTAGGTGTGTCTTGGCTGTAAGGCTGTTTACCATATTGACGTTTCTCTCTCCCTCAAATCGTTCAAACCACAGTTTGCTGCTTTGACTGTTCCTGAGCCAGTGGACACTCAGACTGCTAAGATCAGTGCACAGGAACAAGAGTCTGTAAGTGATGCTTTTTGTGGTTCATTTAATCACAGTGGTGGATAAAATACAATATTATGATATTAGCTAAGTTTGTCACCATATCAGAATTCATTTTAGTTTACATTATTAAAGTTAGAATCCATGCTTTCTGAGTAGTGGTACTCTGCGCTCTTAGCAAAATGGTTTCTATATAGTGCTAAAAAAAGGGTTCAAGCGTTCTAAAAGGAAGCCTTGAAGAACCATTTTTTAAGACTATGTTAAAAGTAGAGGTGGGCAGTATGGCAAAAAATGTCATATCACAATAAGTTTTCCAGTTCATGCATGGATGGGACCTCACAAGATTTTAACCCCATTAAAGTCAGTGTAAGGAGAGCTTCTTAAAATGATTCCTTTTACCACAAAGGAATAATTACTGTTAGATTTTGTGTGTTTGCGGTGTTAGATTTTTTCTGAAAGTTGTTTTTCTATTCCATGATAATCTTATCATGCTGTAGAACAAAAATGCTGCGGACTACATTCAGGCTTCCAAAGCTCGCATAGCTCTGTATGAGAAGGAGGTAAGTTGCACATTGTATGTTGTTTTGTAATATCACGGGGAAGTCTTTGGTAGATAAATATTCTTTGTATTGACCATTCTGTTTACTGTTGTTTATAAAACCATGCCTCAGTGCTGTAGAGTTATTGTTTCAGTGATGAGCTATTGAGTGATAAGCTCTAATAAGAAATTACTACAGCTGAGAGATTTTTGATATTACACCAACAGATGCTTCAGAATAACAAGGTAACCACTTAAATGTACAGTTCATAGATACAGTGCTGTAGTAAACTGAGAAAAAGTGCTGATCTTTTGGTAGTACCTTACTGGAGCATTAATCATGGTTTTAGGGCTGGTTTTCCAGAGCCAGATTAAGCCTAAGCCTGGAGTGAAAATGTCCAGTGGTGATTTGGCATTGGCATTGGCACTGCAGTCTCATCTCTGGGGAAACCAGCCCTTAAAGTTCAAGATCATATAAATAACTTCACTGTCCTCCTTTGTTTTTGGCAGCTTGAGAAGTTCAAGAACATGATTCCCTTTGACCAGATGACCATTGAAGACCTTAATCATGCTTTCCCTGAGACAAAGCTTGACAAAGAGAAACATCCATATTGGCCACACAAGCCTATAGCTGACCTGTAATTTATTAGCAAAGTCAAATTGTTTATAAATTAATAAGTCTTTGAGTGCAGGATCATATTGTATGGTCCAGTCTGTATAATGCTTCTAAAGTAGAAGAGATTTTGTGAAGTGGCTCAGCACTGTTGTATGTATGGCTAAAACATTAAATAAATGGTTTAAGTTTTGATTCCTTTTCATTTTGAAGAAGCCTGAAAAATGACAGTTATGCTCATTCAGGTGCACAGACTGTATAACTTTCACTCTTCCTGTCACATTTCAACCAACAGGGATGGTCTGTCAGAGAACATGTCATTATTGATTCAGGTGACATTTGCATTGCGTTCAGCTTCATACTGTTGAAGTTTGATAGTATTGTACTGTAACTGATATGATTCAGGTATTTGTAGAATTATTACGTTTTCAATGTCAATGAGAATCCACACCAATTTCAGACAAGCATAATGGACTAACAGTATTTGTGTGCTGACAGACTAAAATTAGTTTAATCCCCAGGATTTCACCTTTACAAAAAAAGATATTTTAACTGTCAAAACCTTAACATGTGATTTATAGTGATTGGTATATAAGTTTTACATTTGTACACATAGCAGAAGTAACCCTGTATTCACCATACATGGGCTTTTATGACACAGTGTTGTGACAAAATTAAATATTTATAACATAAGCACAATCTAGAACCTCAGTTGTGAAAATTCCAAAACTTCAGCTGTGGTCAGTTTTCAGAGATCCACCACAGCAGACAGTGGGGAAAAATAAAACTCGGAGCTGCTGCAAATAGGCTGATATAGGCTGAGGATTATGTTTATCATTTTGAAAAATTAACACAGGAAAAGCAGGAAACACCACTGGATGTGGAAAGAAAAAGAGAACAGCAGTAAAGTGGGTCATGAAGTTATAGAAAGGCAGGAGGGTTTGAATTCTGAGGCGAAGCAGTTTTAGTTGAGAAGAAAGAAATGGTGAAGGAGGAGAAAGTGTGAGGGAGCAGATCTTGTGAAGGAAGTAAAGGGATGGAGAAATCAGGACAGGATGAGAAAGAGACACTGGTGGAAGACATGGTTGTGATGCCCGACCAGAAGAATGTTCTGGAAGCACTGGAAGTCCCAGTAAATTGGAGAGAAAGAACTGGAGGAGGTGGAGAACTCACTGAAGAAGGATCAAGTGGAGGAGAATGTTGTTCCAGGTGCACTTAGTACAGTTAACCAGAATAAAATTAAGCTTCACAACATATTAAGTCAGTTCTTATATGAACGACGTGGCAGATATTGAAGTTGGTGTGGAGTCTTAGGAGGCAGCTGTACAGAAAGCTCTTGTGAAGGAACTGATTGTAATGTTCAGAGCAACCAGATTGATGAACTTGAGGCAGGAAACCATCAGGACCTACTCTAACAACCTTAATGGAGATCAGTAGCAGAACTGAGGATGCTGATGAGAAGCAAAGTGTGTCAGAAATTCTTCCTCAATACCCAAACGGACATTTGCCTGAAGTCTCTTGTATTTATTAAATTTTTGGAAAAGAAAGTAGACAGAGAAGTTCAACAATGCAAAGTGTGAGTTTATAGTTCATTTTAAGATTTGTGTCAGAGATAAAATCCTAAAGTTTTTCTTGATATTTGCTACTTTATTTTGTGGATGTGCTCTCTGATCTTTTCAAGATAAACATGAGCACTATGCGTCAAGAACTGACAGGAATGTGGATCAGAAGCACAAAGCCACCAGGATCTACTCTGACAATCCTGTTGGAGTTTAGCAGCACCAGGACTGGGAGCTGAAGATGATGGTAATCAAGGAGGACAAAAGAGTTGACAAAGATTACACAACTTTACCAGTCTTTTGTTGCCCCTGTCCTAACTTTTTTAAGCTGGCATCATATTCAAAATAAAAAAAATAAATAAAATCAATCAATCAGTCAATCAATCAATCAATGAAATAAAAAACAACAACAATATTTCCCAGTTTCAACATTTGATATATTGCCTTTGTACTATTTTTTTGATTAAATACAAAGTTTAAATGATTTGCACATCTTTGCATCTTTGTGTTTATTTACATTTTTTGCAAACCAGTCCAACTAAAAATTGCAGTATTACATTTTTTTTCTTTAAAAGTTTCCACTTGAAGTCTGTCTTTAATTATTGATAGGTTCAAGCTTATACATGACTATGAGCTGCTAGGTAGTGCCCCACAAATCTTTTTTTTTTTTTAAATAAGTACTAAGAAATACTAAGATTTATATTCATAAGCCATCCAAGAATAATTATCCATTTTAAAAACTTGTTTTTGAGAGGAGGTTTTTAAATTACTGTGTCAGAAATCTCATCCCCCAAGATCCCTCAGTTTAAGTACTGTATCGTGTTCTGGGTGGCTTTATTTTGTATGTGTACATCCCACTAACTAAGAAGTGAAATCAGCAAAGTGAACCTGATTGAAACATTCTGCTGAAGTTTAGGATTATTCTCAACAAAAATGAAACTAAGTTTTTGTAAGAATTTAAAGGAAAGCATCCAGTGGAAAACCACAAGTCAGAACATTAAACATTATTGTACTAAGGGATATATCAGGCATTGCATGTTTTTTTTGTGTGTGTGTGTGTGAACTTATGGTATAAGGTGCTTGTGGAATTGAAGGTAATTTTTAACAAAAAAAAATATATAAAATGGATGTTAGCGTGATCTGTACTAGATCTTTGTTGTAATTTATAGTTCTAGTTGATAATTTATTTTGTGAGGAGTTACATCAGATTTTATCCAGCAGATGGTGCTGTAGAACAGTCTATATATGCTGTGATTTAATTTTATTATAGTTCCTCAGTCTGTTGTGCAAACTATGTTTCTGCAAACTACGTTTGTCAGCTGCATTTTTATATAAATTTATTATTTATATAATTTAGTTGCACGTCAGTAAAAATGACAACACAGCAGTCCTTAATCTCTTGCTTGTGTAGTCATAATTGTTGGACATCCAGAGTGTTGCCAAAAGGAACAAATGAATGTGGAGAAATCTGGAATATATGGCACCAGCCCACTTGCTGCGCCTTTATTTTCTCTTACACCTCCTTCAGTGCTGCCTCGTTCGGTCAGCTGCCCCAGACAATGACGTGGTCTCGGGGCCTCCTCATCTGCTACTGATGAAATGTAATTTTGACAAATTCTAGCAGTGTTTCAAGTATAATTCCAAAAACTGAATTACATATAGATAAAAGAAGAAGTCATTTTTCTTTGAAATGACTTTGAAAAAGTCAGAAAGTGAAAAATGAAAAAGCAGAGTTTCCAAAACAACAATTAAAAAAAGATTAAAAGATATAGAGAATATGGGACTCCTAACAACAGTGCAAGACGTGATAGACCACCAAAACTGTCATTATCAAATAAACAGTACTTAAAGCTTTCGTCTTTGAGAGATAGAAAAGAATCAAGCTCCACTCTTGCTTCAGATCTGAAAAAAATCCACAGGTGTTTTTATGCATCCTTCCACTGTGAGAAGACAACTCAACATCATGAGTCTGAAAGGATCTGTAGCTGTCAAGAGCCGTTATTGAGAAAAGGAAATCCCAGCAATGCTTCTGGTTATGATACACTCATGCCAGGACAACACACACTAACATGTCATTACCATGTTGTTATCACTGCAGAACTAAGAATTGTTTCCCACCCAAATAATATCAAGTCTGCTGTGGGCCTACAGTGGTCTCTTTGCATTGATAGATGAGGGAGAGGGTGGCCAGAAAGTGTAAACCTACAATACCTAATAAACTGGCAACAGTGTGTGTTTTTTTGTGAATGATAATTATATATAATTGAGGATTTTAAGTTTCAATGACTTTAAAATCAAATAGGTTTGTATTAGTTGATGCTAATTAGTTCGTATAGCTAATAAAAATAAAGATGAATAATATCAGACAGTAGTTAGCTTCACCACAGCTTATTAGTGGTGTCACTCATGATAAGTGCACAAAAATACAAAAAATAACTGGCTATGGAGCTTTGTGGCCTATCCAATAGGAGTAAGACACATTTTGTATGGGGGCATAGACAGAGGGGAATTTTCACTCACTGTGCAAACTATTTTCTAAGTCCATCTTCCAGTAAGTTCAGGTCTTCCTTCAGGTTACTAAAGCCCCTGCTTCAGTCCTTCCTGTTAGATGCTACATATAGTGTGAGGAGGTATATATATCTGTCTGCTCTTTGTGAGCAAGTGCACATAATAGCAGCCTGGGTGTCATTTTGACCTGTGGTTACTCGCTTCTTGTCTCATTTCCTATCACCTTATCAGGCTCAAAATAGAACACCTCTTCTCAGCCTGGGATTTTTAGGTGTTTTGTGGTGTGCATTTCTGCCTCATCTTGAGGTTGAGTGTGCACAGCTCATTGTGATCATTTTTAGTAGAGGATGTTCAGCAGTTCAGCAGGTCAGCCTCAGCCTGTGGGAACAGCTGGTGTGTTTCCTGCTTGGATGAATTTATTCAGTGTTGCTTTCATAATGTGCGAACACGTGAGATGATATTACATGATATGCAGACTCCATCTGGTATTCGGTGTATGTCACATGCCAAGTCGTGCTGCGAGATGAGAGGCAAGGCTGGTCTGTGGCATGTCTGGTTGTCTGGTGCATCCATTTTAAAGGTGCCAAGTGACAAGACACAAACTGAGGAAAAAACGGGGTTTCAAGAAGTTATGGTGCCACCGAAAATTGTGTGCCCATATCAGCTGCCATTAGGGGTAGAAAAACAAAAACAACAGCAATTTGCAGCCTTATCTGTCAAGCAGGCTGTCACTAAGTCACTGTTGATTCGATGGTGCTGTAAAGTCGACAGCATTCCCTTCCAAAAAGACCAGATATGGGTATATCAGTGCTAGAAGAACATGTCCAGTAGCGTACCTGTTTTTACACTAGTTCACATGTCAAGTCCTCATGAGCCAAAACACTGCAGACTTCAGTGTGCTAGCTTATTAAACACACCTGATTCAGCTTATCAGCTTATTAGCAAGGCCTTCATTAACTGAATTCAGATCGTTAGGTGACAGTAAATACTAATCTCCGCAGCACTTTGGCCTGGAAGAACCCCAGTTTGACATGCTTGCACTAGTTGGTAGTGCTAGAAAGTATTGATCAAATTTACTAAGGCAGTATTTTAAGAATACATCAAGACAATGGAGTATCAGATAATATA